CTTAAATTTGTTGGGACCTTTGTAATAAATTATTTCGAATTTCTTTTAACCTGTCTCAATAATCAATTTTAAAACCAAGGTTTATTTTACCTAATTTGTGTTAAAACTCCGATTATTGATCTACTCTTCTTTAGTATTACGTAACTTTTAATTCTGTAAGATTTGAATTGTTTATATTATCATACTATCTATAGCTATTATTGTAATCATCATTATCACTCATTGGTTAAGTCATTTTGTAAGATATGAAGCTACACATACATTCGAGTAAAGCTTGAAGAAGATCAAATTGAAAACATTATTGTTCGCTTATATGTCTTGTTTACATTTTAACAATATGAATGACTTAATAACGTAATATTTTCACACCCCATTCTCCTTACCTCATTATTCCTATCCCATTTTCTTTCCATGGACATTTTAACTTGATAAAAACTGTAATCCTTTATGGTATGTAACCATTTAATATTATAAATACGTATGACAGGTTCATGTCTAATCTGAATGTTGGAAATGTGTTACACAAATACATTACACGTTTCAAGCAAATTACGTCTTCTTATTGTTTTGTCGAAAATTATAAAATAGTCCGTGAGTATTACTCACAAGACAGAATTAGTCATGAATGGATATTATTATTATTATTATAAGTAAATAAATAGCTTTATTCTGAACAAAATATTGTTTCAAGTTTGCCCACGGAGTGATATCAGTTAGAGAACCATTGAAAACCAGCAGAGAGTATTGGACAGCTGTTTCATTCTTATTTAGGACTCTTCAGTCATATGTACCTAATGACCCAACCCACTAGGTATCAAACTCAGGACAAGTTTGTTGTCCGTTAAGTTTATGGAACAGATTTCCATGACCAGATTATCAACTCTAACTTCGATCAGCTCGCGATGTGTAACGCGACCGCCGGCCAATGTCATGGATGGGTATTTATTCTTACATCCAACTTTGTGGACCCCGATGAACACGATCTCCTATTAAGACTTCAGGAAACTTCATCTTGTAGTGAGTCAATAGTCAGCGACATCAGATTATGTCAGATCACCATAACACCGGTCTTGGCACCGACCATAACTTCTTGTTGGAACTCTAGTGACTCCGTTTTGCTGAGACTGTTTTTCGTATATTCATAATCGTTTGTTAAACAATAGAATCGTAGTAAGAAAGATATTAGTAACTTACGCTAAGTATCAACGTTATTTTCTAACATATTCCTTATCAGTATTCAGTTAGTAAATAATTACATTTTCACGTATTGGTTTGTAGGGATTTGATTGATTGGTTAGATGATTTCATCACGGGCTGACAACAGTTAGAGAACCATTGGAAAACCTGCTGGGATTACTGGGACCCAATAGCCAGCCCATGAAATCTAACTTCTGCCGATTACTGAAGAGTCCCAAACTAGGACGAAACAGTTGTTCAGCACTCCCAGGTTTTCCAATGGTTCTCTAACCAATGTCAGCTCATGATGAAATCCTTCAACCAACCAAACAAAATCCTTACAAACCAATACTTGAAAATTGATCTGATGCTCCCTAGCGACTGGCCCTATTCAGGCAGTTATCTGGGGTTCTGGTTCTAGGGGGAAGCCGAGACTAGCAGGGTACAGCAGGTCGAAGGTGAGGACAGTTTACTCATCGAAAACATTGCTAAATGGTCGCGCTATGTCATGAAATATTTATGTTTGTCTAAAAGTACCTAAAAGAAACAAGTTTAGTCACATTATCACCTTAGCTTATTATATATTAGTTTGTTTATTAGATGTATCACACAATAATTATTTTATTTTTTATTTTATTCCTTAACGTTCCCAGTGGAACATAGGGCTTCAAGCCCCTAGCTTGAAGTTTCTGTAGCAGTGTTTATTTTTACAGGATGAGGTTGCTAGCCTCATGCCCAAACTTTCCTCTTCACCAGCTTTAGTTCTGGCTTAGCGAGGTAAAGTAGTGCGCCGGCCGGGGATCGAACCCCGGACCATGTGCATGGTCGGCGAGCGTCCAAACCGCTATGCCACCGACTCACCATCACACAATGAAACAGTATTATTTACTGGATGACATTTCGACAATCCCTACGACAAATAGGCGGGAAACAAAGAAAACTATAAAACTCAAGTTTCGAAGTCGTGTGATTATAACTGATATGATTATGAACAATGAATTTTGTTCGAAACCTTGTCATCCAGTAAATAATACTGTTTCACTGTGTGATACTTCTAATAAACAAACTAATACGGAATTACTTACTAACTACCACAGTGCCCAAGTTTTACACATATATTAGCTTATTATAGAATCTGTAAATTCATAAATACCTTATTACGTCATACCTTTTTACATGTGACCTTTCGTCCCGTATGTATACATTCATCTATCCCTTATTATTCTTTCTATTAAATTGATCTAATTTACTTAACATTTCCTTACACATTGAAACACACATAAACACACACACACACAAATCCATTTTCCATCCGTGTCTTGATGTTACCATTATTTCAGACCGAGTAAAATTCAATTTGAACGCTAATCATATATATATATATATTCATTGTCCCTCATAACCATTTATCTTATTATCTGATGCTCAGTTTAATGCTATATTTTCGCATGCTGTGACCTGTAATCTACTAATAATTTACTCGCACATGTACACCTCTCCTTATCCATTATGGACAAATAACTGTAGAACCTGATAATGACGTAATCAGAAAGAATATTCTTTATTCGCTATTCAGTGTTTTAAATATGCCCAGTATGTCTTAGTGGAAAAAATCAATTGCACAACCCACTGAAGTAAACTAAACATTAAAGCGAATTAGTGACGTCTATCTCACCCGTCTCCCATCACATCAAATAACAGAATAATATATGGGTGGGGTTAGAGAGACTTGTGTATGTATAGCATATCACGTTTTTCTATGTGTATGAGCAGTCATCACACCAAATTTTGTCATTCACCTTTTTTGTGGTGATTAATGTTCAGTCAGTATTTATTGAGAATAATAAAATCATGATTGCAATAATACTCAGTATATTCGTACAAGTATCAGATATTATTTATTGTAAAATGAACATAACTCACTTTGGACTGACAATTAAGACAGTTCATATAAGATGAATTATGTTATGTTAAAACTAAATCGGAATATGCATGTGACTCATTTTTCCAAACCTTACTGACTGGTTTGATTATAACCGCATACATGCAAATGCCTAATAGATGTTTTCTTCATTACAGCCACACAATTCTTGTTCATATATAATGGAAAACATTAATAAGTAATCCTCCATCCAACGCCAGTGGATTAATTGCTGAGTCAAGTCTTTTCAACCCACTCCACATCTGTCAAACTTGACCGGTAAAATTTCTTTTCGATATAAGACGGTTGGAAGCAATCAACAGGAAGCCTTGGACCTATGTTTCGCGCTAGTTCGCACTCACAAGTCAGCAAGGCGTATCTGCAACCTTGGAGGAATTCATATCCCTTCTAAGATTCGAGCCAGCATCACCCAGTGAGCGCTGCAGTCAGAGATGTCACCACTGAGCTATTCGGTCTCGCGACATTACACTATATACTAGCTAGTGTCCAATCAAAGTATCCAGTACAGTCCAGGAAGTATTGGACAGCTGTTTCATTCTTGTTTGGGACTCATCTACAATTCTCACCCACAGGCGGGACTCAAACACAGGACTTTCCGATAACAAGGCAAGCGAGTAGAACATTTACCCACTGGGATCCAACTCAATGGCACCAGTCAGTGTCGTTCATGGGGAGTATTTCTGACCGGATGAATTCCACTGGTCACGACTTCTCACTAGAACTGCAGTCAGCTTCTTCCTGTAGCCAGCCAGTTACTAGTGAGCATCAAATTAATTTTCAAGAGTTTGTTTGTCGTGACCGGTGGAGTCCACCCGGTCAGAAATACTCCCCACGGATGACACTGACTGGTGCCATTGAGTCGGATCCCAGTAGTTCAATGTTCTACTCGCTTACCTTGTTATCGGAAAGTCCTGTGTTCGAGTCCTGGCTGTGGGTGAGTACTGCCGATGAGTCGCAAACAAGAATGAAACAGTTGTACAGTACTAAGTGGTGACTCTTCGGGAGTAGGTGTCAATGAATTTATTGGGCTCTCCGATTTAAGTCTCTCTGAGTACACCTCAGATATGCTCTACCCTAAATGGATGAAACGAATGTCCAGTGTTTAGATCAATTTGATAATCTGGCTAGCAAGTCCTGTTGGTTGATATGAGCGGAATCCATCTACTAATGACATTCAATCAATCAGTCATATACAGCGTCGTGAAAGTAGTCACGCCACTACAATTCTGCAGTCCACTAGCATGTCAGACATTTTCAGTCACCTTGGGGAGATCATCGAGACTATGTCATTGTTAAAACCAGGTGAGTAGTAAACTTAGCAACCAGTATCACAAAGCTAACATCTAACTAAAAGCCGAGAAAGTTAACCTCATCATAAGACTGATCAATATCTCCTGATCGATTTCTCATTTGAGTAAATTCAACGCGTATATCACTCATCAGTGAAATACGTCATAATTACCTCAAGTGTATTTAATAGGATGACATTTAAAGCCGCATATTGTTTACAGTGTTAAGTAATTTGTAAGTTAATTGGTGGATTCTGACTAGCAGTGGAATCCAGGATGCGCCTTTCGTCTTATCTGGGACTCGTCATCTGGATGTATATGCATTCCTCAGTGAGTGATGATGTTCCCACCAAGGATCGAACCCAGTGCCCATAGTTTCAAATGCTAAAGCGTTATCCACTAGACCACTTGGGCCACGACAGCCACCTCCACATCCAGTTAACTTCTAATTACATGCCCAGACATCTTCAAAGCATCTGCACAAGAAGCCGATATGTCAACTTGAGACCGAGCACTTCGGTCCAATCAATCGACGGGAAAATTGAAATGAAGTATATTCTCATGTGAAGTTCAATACAAAAGGGTTTTTCAACTTAAAAAAATAATTTATTTGTTTATATATACAATATATACAGAAATGTATTCGGAAATTACAATGAAATCCCGATAGTTGCTGAAGTATTCAGTTACAGTCAGATTAATTTATTCAAATTCTAATTCATTCGTAACCTTGTGCATTGGTACAGTTAAACAAAGCATACTCGAAAGCAGCATTTGTCGTATAGGAGATAAAAAATAGTTTTTCAATAAATTTCAATAACTGTGAATGAAATGTCAATTTTTTCATATGAACACCAATCATTTGGGATTACTTTTCTTTAATTTCTTCCTTTCTTCATCGCCTTTTCACTCAAATAAACCATGGCCTGCCTGAACGGTGATCAATTCATCCGTGTCTGTTGTTCAACTGATGATTAAAGGTCTGCTGTTGTTCATTTTTACACTCTATTGTAATAATGATGGTGATGATGGTCACGACATTGATCCGTTTTTGCTTCTTTGTATATTCCCGTATCAATGATAACACTATTGTTATGTAATAAGTAACCATATCACTTGATAAGCTTTTTTATAAGTACAAGACTGCATAACATTCCAATGCCGACTAAAAGTAATTTCTTTGGTTTGTATACACGATTATTGATTGAACGGATTGTCTGTTCGCCATCAGTCGGATGAATCTAAATGAGGAAAAGAAGATGGGTGAATGATCAGAGTGAATCAATATAGTTTATTGTGAACACAAATTGTTTAATATAATAGCTTAAAATATGATATTATGTTAAACGGTGATAAGAATATTTCACTAACCCAGTCAGTCGGAGAATGAACATGGGGAATGTGTAGAAAACATGGAGTAAATGGGAAATTTCTTTTAGGTGAAACGTGGGCAAGCACTAGTATCTAGTGTGATGTGTCTACTCCTTTGTTTGTTACAGACTGAATTCTGTCAATCAGGTTTGCAATGTGGCCACCATTCTAGGTATTTCGCCATTACGGTGCACTTTGAATTGTTGATATTCAATGGTTGGAGGCAATCGGCAGGAAGTCTTGGACCTAGGTTTCAAGCTAGTCTTTACTCGTCACCATGGCGTATCTGCATCCTTGTAGGAACTCCTGAGCCCGAATAACTCAGTGGTAACGTCTCTGACTGCAGCAATGGGTGACGTGGTTTCGAATCTGACCACGCACCACATTTAAATATTCACTTTATCTGTTTTTTAAAGTATTTATTGGTTTCAAGCGGGATCACGAACTGACTAGTTAGAAAACTATTGAAAATCAGTAGGGAGTAATTCACAGTCGTTTCATCCTACTTTGGGTCTCTTCAATAATACGCGTCCATAAGCCCACTGGAGGTGAGTTCGTTGACTATTCAGCTATTCAAATGGTTGTTGTTTTGTTAATTGCGTATATCACTAACACAATTTATTTAGTGTAGATTAGTGATCCAAAAACCACTGGTTCGAACACTGACATGACCTGAATCTTCATCTCACCACCAGTGATCGCTAATCCATTAGTATACTATACAATCGTTTCAACTATATAAGACATGAATATTATCAAAGATTATATTAATTACAGTAAACCTTATTACTGTGGTTATGTGCAAAAATGATTCCCACCTCTATCTTTCGTTGTTATAATAAACATACATACAAGTCAATTGTTTGAATAAATGAATAAAATACTAGTCACCTATGCCCATTCAAACACATACAGACACACATACGTGTGGATATAAGTTTATTCCATTAATTTACGTATTGTTATTAATCTAACTTATTTGTTTAAATAAGACAACAAAATTTTAACCCGCATAATTCAAAAATTTTAGTAGGTCATCATCGTCATCAGTATAATTACATATATACGTATATATTATGTTTAATGAACATATATATATATATATTAATTCCACACCTGTATGACGCATTCGCATGACTTCAAAATAATGTGTGTTGTACGTCACTTTTTAACACGCATACTTCAACTATCCAAATGTCGAAAGTTTCTTATATATATATCTACAATAGGCAGCCATACACACACTGACATACGAACAGTGATGCTGTTAAACAAGTTAATATGACTAGAGTAAAAAAACCAAAAAGAGATGACGATTTAGTAGTTTGATGACCTTAAAGATTATAAGTGGCTTACAACCATTTCTGTTTTCACTCTACCAACCTCTCCTCTCTAAATGGTCTACATTTGTATATATATTTACACACACACATATATATATCCATTTATCTAACCTCAGCTAAACTATCATTTCATAAAAGACTAGTGATTAAGTTTCCACTAGAAAACAAAACAACAACAACAAAAAAAACCAAAGCATCATTGTGTGAATGTCCACCTCCAAGTTGTTTTTCACTCTTCTTGTTAGTATGGTGTGTGTAGATTGTGTGTATGGGTGTGTGTATTATGTACATATTTCAGCTAGCTAGGTAGCTCCCTGTGGTGTCAAATACGCCATATCTGGCTGGATGACTCATCAAAGGCTTGTTGAAAAAAAAAATTAACAACAAGCGAAAACCACACTCTATACCGCTTTTTAAAAACAACTTTCTATTCACAGTGTAATTATACACTGATGATGATGCGAATAAATTTATTTAGACAAATTTTATGATAAGAAAAAACAACAAAAAAATCAAACAAATACAGAAAAATGATTGCAGACTTTGACTTATGTGATAAAACAAAAAGATTAGTAGGTAATGATGATGATTTAATAACTGAATTCGTAAAATAAGACGTCCTCTATTTTAACTACTTATTTCATATTTCAGCAGTATATGTATGTATAATGTACAAGTTGATAACTTCTGATTAACAATTTAATTGGGTATAGGAAGTTAATTCGAGTCATTTGGTGGTGACGATTTTATCATTCAGACACTCTGTTTTGCTGTCAAAACTATCTGAGATGAGAAAACTAATACTGAATAAAATGTATGCTTAAATAGTTGGAAGGATTATTAAAACTTTTCAATGAAGCCCAGATCACTCACTATAGGACAGTGAATAGCGGTCATAGAGTGTGTCGTCTAGTTTTAATCATAAAGCTTCTAATTAGCTTCTTCTTAGAAAGACGCTAGAGATTAAGTGATACACATAAAATGTAACCTTACTGCTGCTCTGATCTCAGTTTTCTCATACATGTTCTATTAGGTTTCACAGTTACTTCTTATAATTAATTCCTGATGGTTTCATAATTATACTGTCTTTATATCACTTCCTTTCTATAATTCATGTAAGGGTATTCAATAGAGTAGTCAGTGTGGAACTACATCTGTCGCAGACACCTGTATTATCCTTATTTATATTATTGTTCCCTTGGGTTCTAAATGGACCATAAGGCTTCAGCGATATATCACCACTTCAGCTGGCTCTCTACAGTCCTTTTGAGCTAGTTCCACAGCTGTCTGTAAGCTATCATCGTCTTCTTATATGATCTACTCCATATCACCCTTAGAGCCTCAGGGCTACACTCAACTCGTCTTTTCCCGTTTGCATATGATGTCAGTCAGTTTATACCAGATCTACCTTCATTTCTTCGATATACATTTTTGGCTGTTAGATCCTAGTTAGTTTGCTGCCAGAGTTTCTTGTTGGTAATCCTTTCTGGCTACCTAAATTCCAGTATGAAGAGAAAGTAGTTACTGATAAAAGTCGACCGAATCCAATACCTACAGAAATGTCCAGACACAGACACCTGTAGATAACTCTAATTCATCTTTTAATCATACGGTTAAACAAACAGCTAGTATCCGCTTATATAGTGCGTTTGACTCATATTTCAGAGCTTGCACTTATTCGGTAATTAATATTACTCTATGATGAAATGATTCTTACTTAAACTAGGATGTACTGATGTTTAGAAAATATTTTAAAATAAACACATTTAATAATAAACATCAATTAAAAGAAAAGATTTCATCAAAAAAAGAGGTTAAAAGAACTTACACTTTTATTGATCATTGAACAATCAGCAAATGGATATTTGCTTTGATTATTACATTTCCTACGTTTACTTTTTGCGCATTTTTCAAATTGAAATTTTTGAAATTCATTTTCAATTTCATCGGCAATTTCAATTAATTGTTGAATAATTTCATTTTCATATGATTTTCTTTCACTAGTCATTTTTTCGTTTATCTAAATATTAAAAATCATAAATTGAAATAATAATTGATAAAAATATACTTGGTATTGTTTAAAAAAAATTTATTTACTTGTTGAAACATTGAACTGATTCAATGCTTCAATATTTAAATCATTTTCGAAATTACAAGTGTGTTTAAAAGGATGAAACAATTTTAAGAACCTTATCTGAATGTAATTAGTAGACACTTAGATGAAGATATAAGTAAATAATGAATTAGAGGACTTGAGGATTACATTTCGAAGCCTGTTACCATGCGTGTTTCTAGTTAACCTTTAAATTATAATTTAAGATTAAAATTGTTCATTTGTATTTCTTAATCATGAGGTGAAGTACAGAATGGTATTACTTAGACTATTTTGGAATTAATTTTTAAATAGTAAAACAACAAAGTAGGTATCTAAGTGACTGTTCCTTCCTAATTCCGAACTTTCCAACCACGTTAGACGGGGGTTATATGCTTAAGATTATTAGAAGTTCATTATTAAATATACTGCTAATTCCTAATTACATAATAACAGCATACATTTACTTGTATGCTGAGTAGTGGGGGCTGGCTAGCAGTGATATTCATGCTACGCGTCTTATCGTATTTTTGGAACTCATCAACTTGATGTAACTGCATTCTAATTTGAGTACCTGTGTTCCCACAGAAACTCTAATCCAGCAACCGTCATTTCAAATATCAAATTATTCTTTATTTGAATGAGTGAATTTCACTATACATTTATATCTTCTAAGAGCGTTTGGAATTATGCAATATATACGTTCCGATTAAGTAAATGGAGTATTGAGTTTCTAAAGCTAAACTAAACAGTAGTATAAACTGATGTAATTGCCAATAATAATAATAATAATAATAATAATAATAATAATAATAAGTCATCCATCCTCACAAAATACTTGATAATTGAATGTCTTTTTCAGTAGCTACTTGTAAGTAGTAAATTAGCGTGTCTTTTCAAAACCTTCCAGTGTGGTTTAACTTTTTGGACACTCAACAGGTGTGACCTTGTCGCGTCCAGTCAGAAGAAGACAATGAAACCAAGTGAATACGTCTAGATTCATGAAAAAAAAGATATCCAAGTTCTTTTTAGGCTAGATAGGAGAAAGATTAAGATTAGGTTTAGTCTATATATAGACAGGTTCGAGTTATCTTAACCTAATTCAGAGATATGATGGTTGAGTTAGGGGACAAAATTTGCTTCTTAGCACAACTGCCTTTTTTTCAAAGTCATTGTTGGTACGTCCACACTTCTTGGGTGCAGACAACTGAACTTTGCCAGGATTTCTTGGTTAGTAATCATACAAAGTATAAAATATAAATATTACTCAGTTTTTAAATTAAGTTCATCTATTGATAAATATTGATTCAACTACAATTTAGTAAAATTAATATGACTCAGTGAAGATGGAACGGTTAAAATTTGAAATAGTCGTCTGTTCGATACCATTAAGACTTAGGAGATGCATAATGAAAACGTAAACACTAAGATCACTAGTTAGAAATACAAATTCATGATAAACCCTAAAAAAACTGGTTAACACAAGAACTGAGTGTACTGGACAGCTGTTTCGTCCTAGTTTGGGACTCTTCATCAGTACGCACCCATCGGGGTTTGAACAACTATCCAGTACTCCCAGGTTTTCCAGTGGTTCTCTAACTGATGTCAGCTCATGATGAAATCCTCCATCCAATCAAACAAAATCCCTACAAAACCAATCCTTGAAAATTGAGTGTAACTTTTAAGAAGAAATTACATCAGTTTACGTGTGGTTAAACTATTTATGCTTATGCTCACAGTTAAAAGTAATTAGTATATTCCATGAATCATTAAAGCATTAAAGGCATACTCCGATATTATGAGACCTGAAAATTGACTTACCTAGATTGAGTGTTTTTTACTGATAAACTTGATATTCCAAGGATATATTACGATATGTGTATTTCCCACAATGTCCAAATATTTTACGTCTGACACTCAAGACTGCACGTGACTAAATAACGTGACGAGAATACATCCATCTATTTTATATTAGCTTTTTTCACATATACAGTCTTAGTCATTCTCGTGTGTAAGACATACGGGGAGTGAAAGACAAAATTTCATAAATGCTTCACTTTGATTGGTTCTTTCATTTTATTATCATTAAAGGGGGAGAACGAAAAATTGTGAATACTCTTCGAAATGGATACAGGACAACGCGACAAAAAACAAAATGAGAATCTACCAATGAAATCTTTTTCTTTCAACTTCACGACATATTGTTTGTCCATCTCTAAATTCGCAACAGCAAAAAATATTTTTTTATGTAGTAAGGACAAGAGCAAAAAATCAGAGAGCTGACACCCCTTTGGCTAGCAGAAAGGAGAAGAGAGAGTATAGTATGCCTTTCACAGGACACACTTCTTCTTTTGGAGGTGAAGGAAAGACTGGAAATTGCATTTATATGAATAAAATGAAGGTGAAAATGGTAGTATATCAATAGAAAAAGTTACAAATTTGGTCACGAATTACTATTATTATTAGTTAGAGAACCATTGAAAACCAAGGGGTACTGGTTAACTGTTTTGTCCCAATTCAAGACTCTTCATTAGTACACACCCATGAACCCATAGCCATAGATCGAACCTTTCACCCTCCGGTTACGGTACCAATTTTGTTGATAATTCAGTAAGGGTACATATTATACATATACATACATATTATATTCAAATGGCCAGAAAGAATTAGTAATGAGAAACTCTGGCTGGCAACAAACCAACCAAGAGCCGACCGCACAACATATATGTAGGAGAAAATGGAGATGGGTCGGGAATACGTTGGGAAGGCCGTTGAATGACAACGCGCGCCAGGCCCTCAGTGGAATCTGAATGGGAAGCGACGAGTGGGTCGTCTGTGCAAGGGGGATGTTGAGGAGATAGTGTGAGGAAGAGATGAGAGAGTTTGGGCAATCGTAAACCCAGCTGAGGAGGATAGCAGAAAATAGAACAAAGTGGAGATGTGTTGTTGAAGCCCTATGTTCCACTCAGAACCCAAGGGAACTACACTATTATACTTTGAAATAAAAATATAATTCAGACGGGAACATTTTCTTAATCGATGATATCAATTAGAGAGCCACTGAATACCAGAGAGTGCTGGACAGCTGCTTCATCCACTGCGGGACTCTTCAACAGTTTACACCTGTCATGGTTCAGTTAAAAGACAAACCTTTAGATAATTCACCTACTCAGGAGTGAGGACAAGTACTCGCTGATGACATTTGTTGGTGGTGACGCTAGAATTGTGACATGCTAATGTATTTATATTTAACAAAACATAAGTTTCAAAGGTGGGAGGGGGGTGAGTTATGGTCAGTTGTGTGAGAAGCATATGAACATTACTAAAATATAAACAAACGAATTAAATACGCTGAATGTAAGTTTGATGGCCATAATGATAAATAAACTAAAGTGGTCATGTGGTGAGCTGTAATCAAATAATAAAGACAAGATAAGCTTAGTGCATATCCAAAGCATGGAAAATAATAATGATAATAATAGTGGTATAAAGTATACCATGTGAGAAAGAATAAGAAAGGTAAAATCGGATATGAAAATGTCACATGATACTGACCTTGATGGTCATGTGGCAGAATAGAGTGAATAAAGAAGATGAATGTACTTTTCCTTCCACACGTTAGGTTTTTTTTCTCATTAATCCCTATAGCTTCAGCTGTGGCTAGAAGATTGTTTGACACTCTATGTAACTGTAAATGACTCATCTATTTCGATGAGGTGTTTGTTATTTGCTGGATGAGATAAGATAGCACTGTTGACTGATTTAGTTACTCCTTCAAGCCCAACTGGTACATGTGTTACGAGTGTGTTGTACAGATGAATATCTCTGAGTATGACTTACATAACTAACACATATGAAGTGGTTAAATTTATATGTACACATTGATGTCACCATTATTGGTAATTTATCTTTGATACACTGTGTCAGTATAGGGCTGGTTGGTTAACTGACGTACAATTCTGCGGTAATGACGAATCTTTCAATTGATCCAATCAACTCACAACTTAGCATGTCACTGGATATATCACCCTTGAACTGCACTCTTAAATAGAGCTTTTTCTTAATCACCATATTCCACTTTATTTGTACAGATCTTTTAGGTACGTACTTTTTTTTTACAAAATTTGTAGGATAGTCGTTTTGTAGAAGGGTACTTCTCAGAGTTTCTGTTTCGTCTTCAACACAGTCGTCAGTACATTTTCGTCTAATTCTACGACTAAGACAATGAATTAAATTCTGCTTATGACATATCGGTATGAAACTGTGGAGATGGATGTGTTACGCGTTTCAGTTAGCATTCCTGGAGACACTTCTGTTTACCGTCCTGTCCAAACTTTTAGTAAGACGAACATTACTGAAGACATATAGCAGTGTACGAGGTTGTGACACTTGACACAGTTACTGAAAAGTGGTTTCTGAAGATTAACAAAAACTTCTCAATAACTACCGACAAAATGGAAGTAAAGATATGAGACTCGATAAGGTGACAAGTTTTATTAGATAAGAAGCAAGATGGTTGAATGTTCATTCGACACGTGTGAAGGCGAAAAATCCACCATCTAGAAAAATAAACAAATAGAACATTTAAATATGGTGACGGATGAATACCTTACCAAAAACAGAAGCAAAGAAGTACAAAAGAATTTAAGAAGAGCCCGAAGAGACCTTATCTGCACATCGAGTTCAGGGTCATATTGACGAATTGCTAGCGCCTCCACAATATACAACCGTTTAAACATAACTTTAAAAGAAAACTCCAGTGGAGCTGCTGACCAAATGCTAAAAAGCATGAACTAGCTGTAGACTGGTATTGTCCTTTTGAAAACCATACGCGATAGTGTTCTCAGATGGGGCTAGTACAATACATTGAAGTGGTCCAAAGTAGCAGTTTCTACTTCCCACATGCACTGATCATTTACCAACTGTAGAATCTAATCTGTAGCTCACTTGAAAAGAGTACCTTTTTCACAGATCTGAATAAGATGTTCTTCTGAATCCCATTGACCATATCACCTTTAAATTCAAAATTCAAAAACAGCAATTTTTTTTGGCACTCTCTGGATTCTTTCAGGATTCTGCTTTACTTTCATATTTTCTAGATGAATCTTGTAGGGTATTGCTTTTCAATGACTACTTGTCTGAGTCTTTTCAGTTCATCAGCGATTGTATCACTAGTACAAAATTATCCTTATTGTTGAAGACAACTAGTGGATCAGATTTCTCTTTCTTCTCAAAAGGATCCAACTATGAAAATTCGTGTATTGATCACTCCATGTTGAACTCTTGTAGACTGATTCCTTCAAGAGAACTGTCAGATTTCCTTTTCAATAAAGCATTCCAGTGTAAGCTTAATAGAGTGGCGACAATTATTGAACTTCTACACTGTCATTTGGATGTCATTATCTTCGTCTTATATGATGAAGGTATAATTCAAATATCTTTGGTGCATATGAAAACTTTGAAATTATTCATTTTTCGAAAGGTATCAGGTATTTAATCGTTGTGGACAATCCATTCACCTTATTTCTTTATGACAGTAGATGATGGAAAGGACAGAGAAAAGTAGTCATGAAGTCTACACTCTACGAAAATGCAATATACGTTGCATCCAAACATAATCTACCCTGTACAAATCACATTGTTTATCGTGTGCGCAGAAAGCTAACTTCCATAAGGCTAAATTACAGCAGAAATGAAACAAACAACACAGTAATCGGTTAACAGGTCACTTTATTACACTTTTCAAGTGTTGGTTTGCAGGGATCTCATTGATTTCAAGTCTGACTGACTTCAGCTAAAGAACCACAGAGAACCAACAGGGATTATTAGGCAAATGGTTCGTCCTAGTTTGAGACTCTTCACCAACAAGCAGCCAAGCCCCCATCGCCAGGGATCAAACGTATGATGTTGAAATTACAAGGAAAGCTTGTTGGCCACTCAGCCACTGGGATGGAATCCAGTGGTCCACGATTTCTAATTTCTGTCGATTTTCTACTGTCAGTGTCATCTATGAGTATCTGTCCTCTCGTCCAACTTGGTGGACACCACTGATACCTAATTCCCACCAGAACTTCAGGCATTTTCATCCTGCAGTCAGTCACTAGTGAGAACTAAATTACACTTTTCTAGGTCGGAAGTGGGAAGCAGGTACATTCACCTGATGAGCCTTGAATAGGATGAAACACCGACTTTGAAAACATGAAATTTATACTGAGATTATATATCTCACCTCATTAAATAATCATCATATTACTAGCGATGTTTACAAATACTTTAGTCGTGAAAAATAAAAGGAGGATATGTTGCTTTAAATTTAGTCAAATTAAATCTCCATAAGTAATACATTGCTTGTGCAGACCATAAATACATAATGATTAACAATTTGAAGTGCTATTGATAGATTTAACTACTCTTAGAATCGATGAATTTCGTTTAGTGGTAAAGTGAGTGGTATTGATTCCACTAGGGAATTGTGTAATTACTGTCAACTCTGATGTCTTTGACCACAGATGTCTGAGTTTTGTCTCCCGTGTAAGTTGGTATAATATGATGAGCAGTATTCGTATTAAGAGTAGAGTGTTAGATAAGCAGGGAAAGTCAGTTGATGAGTTCTTGAAGATACATCGACTAAAATGGCTAGGACACATGTGGCTCATGCCAAGCCACCACCATTCTCTAGGAGCAATGTTAACTGACATAGGATTAGGATGGAAGAAATTTGGGGTTGGTTAAACTATGAAGAAGTCTTCTGCTGTTGATTTGAACCATTTAGGGTGGTGTGGACTACCTGGTTGGGGTCCTCGAGATGCTAAGATCCATTAGCTGGAGACTGTTGGTGATATGGCTGAAAATCGTCCTCAGTAGCACACACGTGTTCACTTTTTATGATCTCCCATATCCAATAAACCCTCATATTTCTCGA